TGATAAGTTTGTCGTTCCAAGCGTCACGACCTACATCCTCGAGGTTATGGATGTAGGCGTTCCACGCCTGAAGTAGTGAGGGACCATCACGTTTGTGATTCCCACTGTACCATCGATGTCTAAAGAAAGCATCGATGAAGAATTCATGTTCAGCGCGATAGTTTTTCGCGCTGGGGTCAAGGTGATGGATCCTTGACGAATCGAACAATCGTGTTCGATAACGATCACTCGTCGTCGCCGACAAGTGATCCATGACGGATTTTGGAGGCATCCATGCCTTCTTCTCAGGAGCGAGACGCAAGACATTGCGGTCCCGCTCTTCCTGCATCGTGCCGACAGAAGTACTGGCACCTCGCTGTGAAGTGGTGTCCATAGGAGAACCGACACCACTATTAGCGCCCGAGTCTCGCGACCTCGAGCGCCTTCGCTTCGGCGATGGTTCATCTGATTCATCAGATGAACCAAAGATGCTGCGACGCAAAGCATCGTCCATGCCACGCTTGGCAGGCGGCTTAGATTCAATCGCCGTCGATACGGATCCGTCATCCGTATCAGGAGAGTACGAGACACCGAGCTCGTACTCTGTGAAGACACGAGTGTCTTCATGACCAGCGCCTGCATCACCAAGTGACACAGGCTGGGTCGCTTCAGCAACCGATGAGACATCAGTTGCTGTTGTTTCTGCTTCGGCGTCCGCACAGAGACGTGCAGACGCGCTCTCGGCGGCCTTGCTCGCACATCGCATGGGCTTGTTTACCATGCGATGAAATGTTGGAAAGTGGATGCGGACCAACAAGTGCAAACCCTGTCCCAAATGATTTGGGACGAGTATCCATTTAGTCAATCAGTCACTAAAGTGACTGATGGTTAAGGGGGGGTTATGTAACGGGGTGAATCGTTACATAACAATTTATAAGAAATTGTTAATAGAATATAACTATAAGAGTTATATTCTCAGGATATTGTCATAAGGACAAATATTCTGTAGCACTTACAAGTAGTTCCTGATTGGTTGATATAGGCCATTATATCAACCAACGAAGACGCGCCACGACAGACGCACGCAATGAGTGGTGAGCAGATAACTGATTTACACATTTGTATTTAGACATAGTTAGATGAAGATAAATAGTGATTGATTGCAGACATTAACTATTATAAATACAGTTCTACTTTTTACTCTAACCAAGTACTCGCTTCTTCTTACCGTCTTCCTCTGCACGTACCAGTGTACGTGAAGTTACGAGGCACCGCCTTCTTCTGTTATCAGAATAAGTAGCTTGTACTGTCACCAGTACAAGCTTCAGGGTGCCCCGTTACACTCGACCTCCTTTACAATTTAGGCTTCGATGCTTTTGATTGCATACATGCAGCACAAAACGAGTTTCTTACAAAATCGACACATGATAACGACTCCAAAACGATGGAAAAGGATCTAGATTCGAAGTAGACGGGGAACAGAAGGCAGAAGAGACGCTGTTTGAGATGTCGACGACCAGAAGTCTAGTGAATTTGCGCGGCTGGTGGCGTATATGGTGCCAACAGTGCGTAGCGTGCGGTACGCGGCATATTTACCGCATCGACTTACGCACAACTTGTTCGAAATTACTTTGTCCACGAGTTCCTCTGCATACGCGCGCAGCACCTTCATTGTTGCAGACTACAGAGTATCGCATCTTGTTGCAGGTATCATCGAGTGAGTCGAAATGCCAGCTTCGCCCACACGGTTAATGGCATTAGCATCCAGACGAGTAGCACAACGTCCCACATTGAACGCCTGGAGGCGAATGCCATCGGAACAGCATAGACGAAGTGACAATGTCGATGAGAACTCCTTCTCACGGCTGTGGTTTTTTCAGTGGCAGCGTATTACATGGTTGTAAATCGGCCCCGTCTCGGTGCTTGTGCATCATTGTTATAACCTGGCACATTACCAACTATCGTTTCCTACTGTGTGTATTGTTATCTACAGCAAGAGCACATAAAACGAAGATAAGGGTACTGTCGCATGGTTGCCGAAGCACGTGTACAATCGATCCGCGTTCTGATTCGTCGATTCGGCTTCAGTGTAGCTAAGAATCAACTCAACATTGAGTAGACAAGCAGCCGCGTGCCGCAGATGAAAGATCATGGCACCTACGCCAACAGCAGCTACTGCGTCTCGCTAAATTGTTGCGTGATCGGTCCATAGAAGAACACGGATGAAATTAGCATTACGTAAAGAGGATTCGTGCCGTTCAACATGCCGTTGTTACCGCACATACAACACGCCTCATTATCGCGTGAACTCGTCAAATAGATCTTCTTCTTACTGAAATTGACCTTCGTCCTTCGCATATCGCATGCCACTATCACCAACACAACTTCAAACGTAAGCAAAATGACAACCATTCGACTTCACACAACTTCTGCTAACGCTGTACACAGAATTTTAATCGACGCACGAAACACGGACATGCGCACGTCAAGCGTTGAGATGTTCGGCATGTGCTCTCATCTAAGTTTACAGCGCACCCGTCAAGCCTAAGATCACCACCGAGAACTTTCGGCCCTGCAAATAGATACTCTGCAGGCATCGCAGGTGTACAAGTATCTTGGCCGTACTCCTCTTCTTCGTTCTATCTGTCATTGTGTTACGTCTCTACGATCTAGACTGCCGTTTCTGTCCCATTTCTGCAGTCACCGCTTTTGTTCTTCGCGCAAATAACTTCGTGATCGCTACAGCACCGTCACAAAGAATACGACGTGGCAAGAATACACCCACTCCTTTGATGACGGCAGTGGACAACGCTTCATACGCACAGACAAAACGTAAGTCGTTGGGACAGCTCAACAACAACTTCACAGTCAATATTGCTACATTCAGGCCGTAGTCGGGTTTTCAGCGTTAGCCCTAATCATCGATAATCGTGTCGTAGATGATCCGTATTATCTGCGAATGTGCTAGAGTAGCATTGCTTATGCAAGGCGATTACGAATGGAATCGGTTTGATGTATCTGACGTCAGGCCTGATGAGAACTCGGAAAACTAAGTGGAGGTCTCAAGAACGCGGATGAACGGCATCAGGTAGTGCGAGTAAAACAGTTTTAGATGACGCTTAGTCGACTTAGTTCGTTTTCTGCGTTCCGACCAAGTACTTGAGCGCGTTAGTTGATGCTCGTGAACAGTATTCCTGGTGAATAAGAGCGATTGAAACCCCACGAATTGAGTCAGTGAGCTTCGTTGAACCTTAACAGATCTCTAATGGCTAGCTGAGGGCTAACACGCCAAGCAAAATTGATCTGACGCCAACAGACCACCGCGAACGCTGAATGTTGCTTTGCACATGTATGTTCGCCCCGTGGTTTCGACATACCACGCGATTCCGAGCTCATCTCCGCAGAATCTCTGCTTTCACTGTGTCGGATTCAGCACTATCTCATTAGGTCTTCGAGCCAGCTTGTTGGAGTTGCACGTAGAACTCGCAGTACTTGCTTCGTATGACATCCCGAATGTGTCATACTCGATATGACAAAACAAAGGTCCGTTCACCTCTTATCTACAGCCTCAATTTTGTAGGCTCGCAAAGCCGTCATGGATTTACGATACTCCTTTCTCGCGGTCTTTCGAGATTGATCCATGCTGGACGGATATGTATCGCTGGACAGAAGAGGAATAATTCACGTCTTGATAGCCATCATGTGTGTTCGTACACGAGTATGAACCCAGCGAAGCACTCGAAAGGTGTAAATGGATCGGTATCGACTTGATCTTAGACTCACCCATAGATGTTAACACATCAATGACACTCCTGTCTGAACTCACCACAGTGCTCAAATGATCACCGTCCGTAAACGTACTCTGCCATAGTGTGCTAACTTCCACCAGTGTAGGTTCAAACAGCACACAAGTTGCTGTCCTGATAAACTTGTCACTTTGAGTGCTTGACAAGCTCTGCGCTCCGTTCTTTCTAAGGCAGGTATTCAGTTAGCACGCAAGCTTTTTGTGCTCGATTGCGCAAATGACTCGTCATCATGAGGCTCCTGGTGCTTGGGCGTTTGAATGAGCTTCCACAACATGCAGCAGCCAATCCCTTAAACTTTCTTGGACGTCACTATTGTCGCATTCAAATATCATCGAACATCACTTCTTCGACCATATTTATCTTGCTGCAATGTTCTCATGCATAGCCGAACTCGCCAATGCGAAAGTACGCAAGACACGTCCGAGATGATGGATGACGTGGCAATGGGCGATGGGACGTGGTTTGTTACGGAGGCCTGATTGTGCTTCATGTAGCCTCCGAAGGGGTGGGCGAAGAACAGCTGCTAGTTGCATCACACAATGCGAAGGCTAGGGTACATGTATTCTGGAATATCATTTCGCGTTTGTAGCTCCCTGATGCAACAACTGCCCCTGTCCTTACAGTAGACGTGCTCCTTTTATTTTGTGTCATCCGCCGGTACTCCTATTTTGTTACACCCTTGAAGTTGCTGCGTGCCTGTTGCTGCCTTCGACGGAGACGTCGTCGTGTAGGATCGATACCCCACCGCGTCGTAGTCACAACCTAGGGATAGAAACAATGCTCAGGATATGCCCCAGTTGCTTCCATACGCATACCTCCTCTTTCACCTCGTCAGAGTAGCCTCGGAGTGGGAATTCCATGATGACGTTTGGATAGCTTCGGTGCCTGTCTGCGTGCACTACGTGCGAGCCGTACATCCAGCCTTCCAGCTACCGGTGATCTTCCGTGCGATGACATGTGAGCTTCTGTCAACAGGTTTGCGCGCATGGGCATATTTAGAAGATATGTTGCATGGCCTTCTTCACACTACGAAAGCACAATAGCTTTCTCCACCCAAAATCACTTTTTCTTGCATTGAAATAAAGAAGTAGCTGTCACACTTCTTTCCGAACCAAACTTTCGAATTTGCTGTCTGACGCACAGTTAACTCGAGAACGTGATTCGGTGGCGACAAAAAAAATCGCTTTTTCCACCAATCAAGTCGACGTATCCTTTATGGAGGACGGCCGCGACCGCGGAGCGCGTAGTCGCCGCCCGCCCAGGCCCTTAACTGGTGCATTTAGTGGCGAGCAAGTCGGACGTGGAGCGGAAGGTCCACCGAATGGGGCTGCTGCTGATGCGGCGACCGTGGTTCCTCCTAGTGACCCACATCCCGACGGCGAGCGGATGGACTCTGTTCAAGCCTCGGACGGCACCATTCTTGATTCGGTGAGGGATGTAGGGATGGATCCTGGTGTAGGCGATGTGTCCATGTCATCTCTACAGAGCGAGCCTCCCTTGCAGCAGGTAGGGGACGGTGGTACCGGTATCGCGCCGGACAACGAGGATGATGATACCCCAACTGCCCCAAGATCGCCGCCACGTATTTTCCAAGATGCGCGGCCAATGATGCCAAGCCCGTCCGCTTGGACGGGTAACACAGTCGATGAGTTGAGAAAAGCTGCGGGCTCTCAACCCTCGCCGTATGTTAACGATGCTAACCTTCGTCTTTACGAGTGCGCGCGAAAGCGGTGCCGTCTTCGAAAGGACGGGTTTCAGCGCAGGATGACGCCAATTGAGGTGGAAACTCTTGAGGCTTGGCTTGGAGGCCATCTACAGCTTGCTGGAGCGCCTCTATTCCTCAGGGAGACTCATGTGGCGGCCGAGCGAGAGGCTTTTGCTGTCCACCAGCGCTCTCGCCTTGTGCACAAGCTTTATGCTCGCCTTCCGGTCGGCCTTTTCCTTCCTGATCTAGGCGCGCGGGGTAAATTATTTAGCCTGATGCTTGCAGCTGCTGTGACTCCAGCGGCAAAGACTCGTGTCAACTCGCTCATCATGGAGCTTTCGCGCGTTGAGTGTTCGAGCCTGTCACCTATTGTGGCTCTCGTCTTCAACGATCGCCCTACGCGAAATTCATGGGCGAAGGCGGACCTTCGGGTGGGTAATTGTCGGATCCAACTTCTCGTAGCTGATGACCCAGCTACGGTGGACGACAAGATTGGCTATACGGACATTACGACTTCAATGCTCTATCAGGTGCATGTGCTCGGCAAGAGCTCGGCATTTCCGAGCGAGATCCGATCATGGGTCGCAGCCGCGACGTCGACACCCGTGCTCACTGTCGAGTCGCATGAGGCCGATGGTGCCCATTTCTTCGGCGCGCATCGCTGGGTCGTCACTTTTGATTCCATGGAATGCCCTAAAGAACTGGACCGGAAGCACAGGATTTTAGTGACGACCGGCGATAAGAGTATCGAGGTGGTACTCATGCACCCGCGGAAGAGTACTCGCAAGCCGTGCCAGCGGTGTCTCAGCGTTCGACATTTCCGTAAGGACTGTGCGGCTGTGGATCCCGAGAGTACATGTGCAAGCTATACTCTATCTGCAACGGCCTCGGTAACATCCTATGTGTCATTGACTCCTCACGCGGATGGATGGATCAAGGCAACTGAAATTCTACGTCAAAAGGTGGCGCCTGGGCTTGGCGACAAACTTCGCCGAGCTTCCATGGTGGAGGGGGCACCTAAGCGGCAAAAAACAGTCATTCACAAGAGAGAAGTGGCAGCGCGAGTGGAGGCTAAGGCTGCGGTGACAGCTGAACTACTTGCTATTCGTCGTTCAAAGCTGAAAGCGGCTACGAATCATTTCGCGACGATTACGAAGGCTGCTGCTATGGCTGCGGCTGCTCGTGCGGCAGCGGTTCAACAGTTTGAAGGCTCGTGTCCCGTCGCAAGGTCTGCGAGTCGTGGGGTGGCAGCTGACTCGCTGCCGACGTCGGTGCCTTAACCGGTATCGGGTCAGCACAGAACTCTAAAAAGTTGTGAAGTGGCCCCTGCTGCAGTACCAGCTGCTCCTGGAGCATCTTCTGAAGAAGCGATGTCCACGGTTGTCAATGAAAATGATAGCGATGCACGCGACATGGCCACTGCTGATTTACCCGCTCTTTTTGTGGTTGGCGAGCACGCTGTGTCGACGGTATTCGAGGTACCACCTTCGACAGCGGTTGATGGGCAAGATCGGACGGAGGTGGACCATTCTTCTGGTGGTCCATCACCGTCGTCGCTTGCCGCCACTATGGATATCGATGAGCTTGAGGCATCGGTGCCTCCCTCTACCGCCTCTTCGAATGTCTACAGGACACGTTGTTGCACAGATGGCCCCGACACGACTGCGATCAATTCTCACATGGCCTCCCCTCTCCCTCCTGGTTTGGAAGCAGTGCTTGCAGCGCAGGACACTGATTCAATTTTACCCATAGACAGTCAGGATCGTGTCATGGCTGGTCCGCTGCCGGCCATTCCACGTTATGAATCACCTTCACCGGATGCCGTGGAAGCGTGGAACGCGGTCGCTGCGGTTCAACGCGAGGCGGATGATCATGCCGCTACGCTTGCGTCCTCTCGTAGGCACAAAGCACGGGTGATGCCCGCACCGAGGTTGGGCTGCCCACAACCAGTTGCATCCGGTGTAATCGTTGAAGTTGCTAAGTTACTGCAGCCGACATCACCCTGCGTGCGGCTGACGAGTGAGGAGGTTTCAGAGCGCAATCGCCAAAAAAACAGAACGGCATCGCTATCGCGACGTGGAGGCGACGGACATCGTCGACACCAGTACTACCAGCGAATGGTGAAAAATTTTCGATCTGGATTGAACAATATTTCTCTCAGTTGGTATCACTGATCACTTCGCTACCGTACCCACTCATGGAGCTTACACATGGGGACGATCAGAGCTGTTTAAATTTGGTCAATCCATTTGCTGCAATTCTCAGCTTGCGCTGATCGACCATCATTCGATGGACCAGAACTTAGAAGTTCGTCTCCGCTCTATGTGTCAGCGGCGTGCTATCGCAATTCGCTCTCTGGGAAAAATTGCTTGCCGCTGGAAATTAACAAATTCAGAGGAGTGGTGGAGAGAAGTGGAGTGTTTCGACAGCGATTTAATTACGGGTGTCACAGCACCTGCCCTGGAAGACCCACTCAGCTCTATTCTTTCCCTGCTGAGTATTCTCTGTCCAAGTAGATTTCCAAAGCAGCCAGACTGTGGCCTGGTGCTCCCCGACACGTGTGCACGGGTGTACGAGCACGATAACGAGATCAGGAAGGTCGCTGACACCGTGATTCAGTCTGGATCGCTGGTCGATGTGCTTGGCATCTGTGAAATTGGGCGCGGCACAGCCGTGCGTCGTTCCTAAGGGCTTCTCGGTGTCAGGACGAGCGTGCTCCCAGCTTGATCGAAAAAAAAACGCGTGCCACGCAGACGCGGGTCAGCCCATGATCTGTCATGTGGTCTTCTTACACAAAATGTTACGGGTCTGGGAGCCAAAAACGAACGGCAAAGTCGCTGGGTTGCGCATTTTCGTTAAACTGTGCAAGATGGCATGCTGGACATCACGTGCCTTCAGGAGACTAGGGTGCCTGTGAATGGTACGGCAGCGGCGACGGAGCTGCATCTTCTATCTTGGGGCTTTGTCGCTGATGGTGAAAATCAGTTCTCGCTATGGAGTCCGAGCGTGGGACGGTCCGGCGGTCTCGCTATTCTTTTACGCCCGTACAGGCGGATATCTTAACTGCAGGCATTCCAGATGGAGCACTGGACCGCTCACTGGATGGCTGCGACTGCAATTCTGGATGATCGAGAGTTTACGATTATTAATGTGTACGCGCCCGTGCTGAGGTCCGAGCGGGAGAAGCTGTTTCAATCGCTCGAACACGTGGTATCCAGTGTCGATAGTCCGGTGTTTCTTTGCGGCAATCTCTATTGCACGCTTTTAGATTCTCGCGATCGGTCTTACACTTCTCGCTGGAACAGCCATGACCCTCCGGCACTGCGCCGCCTTCTGGATTGCGGCGGCTTAACTGATGTTTTGGATGACGACATCGACGACCACGATTCGGACATTGATTGGCGAGTCAAACATCACACGTATTTCTATACGATGCCGGGTGGGCGTGAGGCAAGCTGTCGACTTGACCGGTGGTACTGCTCGGCCGTCGACGGAGAATGGGTACGCGTAATCGGCACGTCTATTCCTGGTCCTTTCTCCGATCACAACGGTGTTTTAATACGTGTGGCAGTTCCTGGACGGACTGTGCAGGTGAAGTCGCGAAGGCAGTTGTACCCGCCGCCTAGGTACGCTGTGCGAGAGTACGAGTTGATGACGACGGACTTTTTCCAACCTGCATCGGGGACCCTTGAAGGCGTCATCGCAACAGCAGACACCGTTACGGAACAAGCCCGGGCAACGGCCATATGGTGGGATGCTGAAAAAGCTGGACTGCGACAGAGATACTCCGATGCGGCCAAGGATGCTCGCCGAAAATCTACGACCGGCTACCGACAGCGCCTAAAGCGGCTTACCGCCCGTCTGGCGACCGCGATCCGAGAAACCCCTGGTCCGGGTGCTGATCCGTCTCAATCGGTCATCCAAGCCCGACGTGCGGTAGTAGATTGCAAGGCCAAGTGGCAGAAGATGAAACGTCGATCGCTTTTTTGGTCCCATGCACACCATCCGGCACGGTCACAAAAAAAAATTCTACCGCAGAGTGTCGACCAAGTTTGTCGATAATACGGTGTACAGCCTACGGGGTCCTACTGGCCTCGGCCATCATCGGGCACGTGATCTTGCACAGGATATGCGTGAGGGCTGGCGCGCCATCATGCAACAAACGCCTCCTGATAAAGCGATCGTCACTGATTTCCTCGACTCGCTTCCTCCGCGGGACCATGGTCCCGACCTTTCGGTTCTCAGCGACGAATTAACAGCAGCTGAGGTGCTAACATCTATTCGTCGCTGCAAAAGGGGTAAGGCGTGGGGACCGGATTCGCTTAATAACGACTGGTACCGCGACAATGAGGCCTACCTTGTACCTCTACTGACAAGGGTATTTAACGTGTGCGCACTTGGCGGCATCTTGCCGGGCACGTTCGGTCAAGCTGTAGTGGCGTGCATAAAGAAGTCGAGGAGTGCGGCATCACCACTTGACTATCGACCGATATCTCTGTTAAACTCGGACTACAAAGTCTTCACACGGATTTACGCGTCCCGCCTCAGACCGCTGCTACCAACTCTAGTAAATCCTCTCCAAACTGGTTTTGTACCTCGAAGAGAGATGGCGACGGTACTTGATATCTTCGCTGCTGCTAAATTGTGTGCATGTAATGATCCCGAATTGCACCGCTCGCTCATGTTGCTGTTGGATTTCTCAAAGGCGTATGATTCGCTTTCACGCAATTTTCTTCTCGCCGTGATGAGCCGACTCGGCTTCCCGGCATCGTTTGTTCATCTCACCTCGGCTCTTCACATGGGTACAAGAAGCCAATTCATCGTAAACGGCTACATGTCCGATCCTCTTGATGTCGGGTGTGGTATACGCCAGGGTTGCCCGCTGGCACCCTTGCTTTTTATCATTGCGGTGGAACCTCTTTACGAGATACTACATAGCACGGTGAAGGGTGTTCGGATCGCAAACACGTCGGAGACACTGGAGATCAAGGTTTGCGGGTACGCGTATGATACTGCTGTGTACGTTCAGTCCCCGGAGGAAGTGTCTGTGGTCACGCGGACTCTAATGCGATTTGGGGCGGCTTCTGGGCTGGTCATTAATGCTTCGAAGTCTGTGGCGGTTCCTCTGTGTGCCGGTGTGAGCATTGACCCCACACTTTTGCACGGTGTTAAGCTGTTACAGGCGGGCGAGAGGTGCAGGTATCTTGGCGTTTTAATTGGGGATGGACGGACGGTTCGGGACAACTGAAGTGCATGCCTAGTCTCACTCAATGCTCGGCTTGTGCTAGCCAGACGAAAGACAAACACGGTCAGGAGCCGAGCTCTATTAGCCTCGGCTTTAATCATTCCCAGGGTCACGTTTCTCGCGAGACACTCGTGGCCTACCCGTGAGGTTACCGACTCGTTACAGCTTTTGGTTAAGCGTTTTGTTTGGGGATCGCGACAAGGTGTGCCATCTCGAGCGTGGATGAGTGAAGCACAGGCCGGTTTACGTGTGTGTGATGGGGGATTGCTATCCCACATGTAGCAACGAAGCTGCTTGCTATGGCGGCCAATGCGGTCGGTAAATGGGCATCTTTTTTCGAATGGGCCAGCTCGAGTCGCGGGTGACATTTTGCTGGCAAGGAGAGCTGGAGTTGATGTGTACCTTACTCCGGATAAGCCATGCACAACCCCTAAGTGTTTTACGGTCTCCGACACCATGTGGGCCAGCGGAGCAGCTGTGGTTCGTGGTGTGCATAGCGTCCCTATTGATTTGTCTAAGGCTGGATGTGTTGCAGCAACTGAGTCTCTCTTGCGTCGGCATATTTCAGCTGCCTACTGGGAGGGCGATACGTTAACATTTCGTATCGATACTGCCACGGTACAAGCCATTGCAAGTAAAGCGGTCGGCGAGCAGTGCATACGTGGAACTTTCTGCCACGAGTGGCTAGGTCGGGTGGGACTCGATACGAGGCAATGGTTGATCACTGGACGGGGATAGGACGTCAATATACCTCTCCTGCGGCGTGGAGAACAGTGGCAAACGCTTCGTGATCTCCTGACTTGGATATGGCACGGGGATGGAACCATCAAGTTCGAGCTTCAGCGTTCACGGTCACCGGCAATTCGGCGTGCGGTCTCGGTCCTGTGCAAGGCGATTGTGTGCAATTATCCCACGCTTTTCCTTCAACCGCGCTCACCATCGCTCTTGAGACCGATTGATGCTAGCACGTCGTCGAATCTTTCGTGACGCCTTTCTGAAAATGCAAAGAGCATTGTCTTCTCGAATAACACGATCGTGTATACATCAGTCCCAGTCCAGTCGCGGTACGACTGTGAACTCCGAGCCCGTGCAGACATCAATAAGCGGGACTTCCGCTTTCACGATCATCCTGCATTGTCGCGACTTGTGCAGCTTCACACCTGGGCTAATTGGCGTTTTAATCGGGCGCGGTACAAGGAGGCTGTGTCCGGGCAGCGTGTGGCACAGGGGACTGTGGAGAGAGATCGGGCAATCGCTGTTCAAGCTACAAATAATAAGGACCTGCATGATGCACTATCCCAGCTGGATTGGCGTGACATTCGGGCAGTGAGGGGAGCTGGGGCTTCTACGGTCCAGACACTTTTTCGATTGAAGGCCAACAAGCTGAAATTATGGAACTATGTGCACAGTGACCGTTCTTGTCCACATGGCGAGTGTCCCCGAGACGTACCTATTAGCCTTCAACACGTCTTCAGGGAGTGCCCTATTGCGAAGGCAGCATGGAAAGACTTTGACATTCGATGGAGGCGTCTCGGCGACAACGTGCCTGCTAACCTTATTGAATCGTGCTTCAGTTTGGGCCTAGACGATACGCCGACACGTGCGTGGCGAACGGTATGTGATCATGTTCGTGCTGCAGGTACCGAGCATTGTGATGTTTTGTACGAGGTTTCCAGGGATTTGTGGAGGCTGACGGTGGCGGCGACAATTCAAGCCATCTGGTGTGCGCGACTTCGTCTCCGCCACGAGCCAGATGCGCTTCAATCGACATTGCGGGCGGCAATCTGCGTTACAGTAGACAATGCCTTGCGCGATTTGGTTTCATTGAGTTATAAATTCGACACGGATATTTTAAAACTTCCGAAGAATGCCGCTACCAGGGCGCTGGCTGATCGTCTCAAGGGGACGATTGACGGGACGATTCTCTCGCCACCGATTCGAGACCGGAGCGCCTACGTGCTTTTTTTTATGGCGGCTCGCGTGGTAATCCCGGTCCAGGCGGATCCGGTTCGGTCATGGTCTGTGTTGATCTGGACACGCGAGCATCAGAGATTACCTGGGCGGCGAGCATGTCATATGCGCATAACAGCACAACCAACAACATGGCGGAATATCGGGGGGTGGTCTCATCACTACCGCGCTAACAACAAAATGGCAGACTTGGCTGCGAATATTGCGATGGACTCCAAAACGTCACAGCAAACGTGCGCTACTGACAATCGACCACTGATTGCAAGAGTGCAGCGGTTTCTCCGCACTGACGTGCACGAGTGGCAGGCATTTCCTCCAACACATACCCCGGGTCCAAGTATTTCTGCTCTTTCGGCGGTTGCTTCCTACGGTCGGAGGGTAGCTGTATAGCCCCTGTTTTTTTTTCATAGCTTGGCGGTGTAAACCCCCATCTTAGCCATTAGAGATCTTATAAGTACCTCAATGAAGCTCACTCACTCACTCTTTCCGATCCAAATCCCACGCCTGGTACTTCGTGAGCTCGTTGCCACAGCTCAACTTATGCTGACTTCTATTGCGACACTACTGCCTACTACGCGCTGTCTTGTGCTGTATCCCGAAGCTTCGTCATAGTCCTGGGAATGCCCCCACCCTCAATAGTTGTTTCTGTACAGCCACAATGACGTCTGTATTCGCTGTTAAGTCGGGCACAGATTCTACAGGTGGCTGTAACGATGACGGTATATCAGCTGCAATTGCTGGTGTCGGCGGCGCAGTTGTAAAGCGACCACACCAAAACATGCTGGAGACACACACGCTTCCACCGAAACGAAGTCTCGTAGGCATTGTTCTTAAACTGCTTGTTATTTCATAGACGTTCCCTTTCACCAAACTGATTTTTGACCTGGCTATCATGAATGCGCTCGGTGTACTCGAAGACACTTTCATTGGAAGAATGTTACGTGTATACATTCTGACGTTCAAGAGTATTGTTTGCTCTCCTACACACTACAGCTACATTTGCAGGTGAGAAAGGGTATCTGAAGTTATCAACAAGATGTCCTCGAAGTTGACCATGAGCACTGGTACTAGAAACGTAGTAAATAATCGGATTGAAACGAGTTGATTGTCTTTAGTTGTATTTGCTGTCATTAAACTTACAGTTGACTGTATTTGGTGCGCTTCCTCCTCTTAGTCCTACAATGCACTTGCAGCGCGTCCGAATTACACTCATTCGAAGTTCCTCAAAATGGTTCAACAACGATGCAAATTAAGTTGATCGTCAAGAACATTTTGTCACAATGCGCAGGTGAGTGTCGATGTCCCGCAGGAGTGGTCCTGGTGCAGGGCACGTCGACAATGAATCGAATCGCCCTGCAAAACGAAGAAGTTCCTACCCTTCACGGTCTGCCTACAACTCGCCGACACGTTCGCTGAGCACGAGCCCGTTTCTACGAAGAGAACTCCCCAAAGACCGCGATGACTCACGTTGAGATCCAGTACCGGTTCTTTATGTACAGTAGCACCGACCCAGATACTCGTCGTCTAGTGGTGCATCTGGGCACATTTGAGCACGTTGTGAGCCCGAGCCGACCTGAAGAGCAAGAAGTCGACTACGAGGTGATGACCAGAAATTACGTCAAGATGCCTCACTGAAACTACCGCAGTAGCAACAGGAGTCCTAGTCAAGCTTCCTCTGTCCCCTGAATCACATTGCACCGAGCGCGAGAGCAGCCCCGCCATCCGGTAGAGTGCACACGAGAATCCAACCCTGGACTTGGTCAACGGACGGTTTCCACGGGCATTTTTGGAAGTGCCCCGCCGCGACGCCCGACGACTTGAGCCAGCAGAATGAGAAAGCTAGGAGTCGTAAGACCGTGTCATGGTCGATGACTCGAGATGGTTACCACACAACCAGACATCATTTTAGTGAAAAGTAGCTATAACAACGGACAGTCTGAGCCTCTCTCACTTTAAGATTGAGGAAGGAAAAAAAACTCGAAGGTGACAACCCCCTCTGTTGGACTGAGCAGTATCCACCAGCAGGCGTGTACATGCTGGAACTGTACCAACCGTAGCGGTGCGTCCCAGCCAACTACTGTCCCGGTGCTGTGTCCAGCATCACACTGAGCCACTATACAATCAAGAAAACGGCATCTCGCATGAGGAACACGACATCTCGCATGAGGAACACGACATCTCGCATGAGGAACACGACATCTTGAATGAGGAACACGACATCTCGCATGAGGAACAGGATATCTTGTACTCCGTTGCACTCTCACTTTGTTGTCTCTGATGTCCGATGTCTTGTACTACGTCACACATTGTTCGAAGTCAAGTACATCGGTTTTGATCAGCATTTGCTAGACGACTTCTACCGTCCCGTTCGTTGTTATCTTATCATCTAGCAGATGGACAGCCTGGCAAGAAGAAACAGCCCCTCCTTTGTCGGTTCTCTTCCCCCCTACGTCAGATGCTAACACACCCCTAACAATACGAATCACCGCAACAATTTCTTCTGTTCCAACCCCCCGCCTGACACGCTACACTCACGAATGCCATAAAAGACGACCAACGACCCCTTCCGTATGGTATATACCGGGTGGCGGCTGTTTGCAGTTCGTTGCGTCATTGCTTCGTTGATGCTACATTCGACGTCTACAACGGCTACCATGAAGGGCACCCTCTCGAAGACGATCATACGCTGATGAAGTAATTCCTCACTTTTATGCGCGGAGAAATCACAAACTTCTGCTTGTTACTTCAGACGAAGCCCTTGTTGCTAGTTGGTGCTCGAGTTTCCACGGATACCAGCTGGACTTTTCGAGAGGTTCTAATGAGTTGTGAACTCGTGGTCTACCGACAATTAGACTTGGTGGTGATGCTGAGGTAATGTGCGTGCGCCCTATATTGCGATACTATTCGTTATTGACGTCAACGACGACGCTCAAAACATCCCTCAAAGTTACCCCTTCCACGGTAGTTAGTGCCAACAGCTCGTTCCAGATGTGCCAGATCATACGTGGCAATTGCGTAAAATTTGAACAAGCGGTGGGATGCGGTGAGAACTGCAAATTTTTACAGAGTGAGAAAAGCTTCACTGTGACCCGTCCGAGCGTTTCATGTACGGGTAACAGAAATTTGTGTCGATCAAGCTTTTGTTGATCGAGGCTTGGCAAGGGTGAAGCGCACTTGATGCAGCAACTCGAAATTATGTCGATTAAGCTTTTGCTGATCAAGGCTTGGCAAGGGTGAAGCGCACTTGATGCAGCAACTCGAAGCATCTGTACAAATTGGCATTGCAGTTGTAACCAAATGTTATAGAGCAGTATGAAGCCACGAAAATATAGATGACAGATGGCCGTCCATACCCACGCTCGCAGACTTATTGAAGTACCTCTCGTCCACAACTTAGAAGCTCGTTTTTACACAATGCTGGAAGTATGGTCGTGCGATTGTATCCTTCGTCTTGCTTTTTGGATACTTGGATGACTCATCACATACCTGGATCTCCGGCGATCTTGAACCTCGAGTAGTGCCGGACGAGAGCGCCCTACAGATGACGTAGTCAGCAGGTCGCAACCCTCTCGAACGTAAAATTTTACAGCAGGCTGAAACTGAATACATGGATGGTCAACTCTGTGTTCGGCTAGGTGAATCGTCTCCTAACGTTTGACCTTTCTTATGCGCTCAACGGCCTAGACCTCCGTTTTTTCGCCTTGACTCTCATTCTGACATACGCCAAGCCAGGCGAACTACCCCACAGCATCGTACGCAGCTATCGTCCGCAATCATGAACATCAGGATCTGCGCATTCGTCACCCTCGCCGCGGCCGTCTCGATCGTCTCTACCCATGCCCAGTACTGTGTTAATACGCCAGCTTGCAATCTTTATCCTGCGAAAAGAGAATCTGCAGCAAGAGAGTGTATGAACCAAGATTCCGAAACCAATTTCAGCGCGCGTAAGTGTTGCACCGCGCACTGCTCACCGAAGAAGCATTTTCGCCAATAGTTACGCGCAGGCCAGCCATAGGTCAAAGCGTCACTCGAAGTGTTCGCTTTTGTTTTGTTTGATGCAGCCATTGAATTCTTGACTCGTACTGCTACTGTGCTAGTCTACCAACCAACTTTTGTCTGCACGGTCTTTGATGTGATAGTTTGAATACAAAGCAGTTATACTTGTCACAAACTTGTGATCTTCCATCGTGCATTGCTGTTTGAGCATCCATCGCAATGTAATAATCGGTTCTACTTTACGCCGACCTGGTCAAAAAGTCGAGTGACGGCCACGCGTATACGACGTCACGTTACTTACTCTCAACAGATGTGGTTTAGTCCTCTAAGAATGGGATTGAAAATGACATCGCCGTATTAAGACAGGAGAAAAAGCTCCGTACTTTTCAGTCGACAAACTTACTAAACAGAACTTAAGTCACCCTTCTCTGTCGGTGTCAGAGGGGCCTCCCCTGATAAGATAGGGGAGCAAGCTCTGGGGCTCGCCCTTTGGTATGTGTAATTCAGTACAAAGAACTGAAAGATAGGGGAGCAAGCTCTGGAGCTCGTTCTTTGATAAGTAATCCAGTTCATCGAACTGAACTAGTTGCAAAACACCGTACAACAACAGACGCTGAAGAAAGAGTTTAATGTTGTCAATTTATGTACCAATCTCGTACAGTCATACTAGAGCAACGCGGATAAGCCTTTGCTTATGAGCGTCTAGCATTTACTTATGTGACCATAATCACAATTGACCGATTATAAGCCATTAACAAGCGTGTGACACAATATTGACCAAGCCAAAGAGTGACTCTAGATATGCCTATATACCTGCAAGGGGGACAGGCTAGGTCGCACTTGGTTCGCGCGAGGTACACCTAGCCACGTTATTTACAGACACTCACACAGACACAGACGCACAGACACAGATACGTACGAATAAGAAGTTCGGCATTAACCTGGCGCACGGTCACTAATATCTTCACTCTTTAGAGCTCGCAAATTGTTTTTAGGTATCGATAGAAAGCTCGCATAACAAACTGATTTGAATGACTAATTTGATCAATATTCTTCTTCGGATGAATGGACGGTCAGGGGGCTCTGAGCAAACGTATCGCTTCATTCCCTCCCTTCAACCTCCTACCCCATCAGCATTTCACTTTACGTGCCGATCAAGTGCTTTCTTTTAGCCGACACAAAATGGAGTGCGTCTCAAAATACTGTGCATGATCCATATGACTGTGGCACGATCCGTGGCCTGACTCATAAGGGATTGGGTAAGTGCACAATACGCACGAGCAAGTGCACTTTATGTGAACCACTTGCTTACATAACGATAGTTTTGCTAAGGGAAGCGCCACGGAGCTCTCACTTTTGCGAATGGACACTCGGCCTCCTTTACAATTTAGGCTTCGATGCTTTTGATTGCATACATACAGCACAAAACGAGTTTCTTACAAAATCGAAACATGATAACGACTCCAAAACGATGGAAAAGGATCTAGATTCGAAGTAGACGGGGAACAGAAGGCAGAAGAGACGCTGTTTGAGATGTCGACGACCAGAAGTCTAGTGAATTTGCGCGGCTGGTGGCGTATATGGTGCCAACAGTGCGTAGCGTGCGGTACGCGGCATATTTACCGCATCGACTTACGCACAACTTGTTCGAAATTAGCTGGTCCACGAGGTCCTCTGTATATACACGCAGCACCTTCGTTCTTGCAGACTACAGAGTATCGCACCTTTTGCAGGTATCATCGAGTGAGTCGAAATGCCAGCTTCGCCCACACGGTTAATGGCATTGGCGTCCAGACGAGTAGCACAACGTCCCACATTGAACGCCTGGAGGCGAATGCCATCGGAACAGCATAGACGAAGTGACAATGTCGATGAGAACTCCTTCTCACGGCTGTGGTTTTTCAGCGGCAGCGGATTACATGGTTTGTAAATCGACCCTGTAACGGGGTGAATCGTTGCATAACAATTTATAAGAAATTGTTAATAGAATATAACTATAAGAGTTATATTCTCAGAATATTGTCATAAGGACAAATATTCTGTAGCACTTACGAGTAGTTCCTAATTGGTTGATATATGCCATTATATCAACCAACGAAGACGCGCCACGACAGACGCACGCAATGAGTGGTGAGCAGATAATTGATTTAGACATTTGTATTTAGACATAGTTAGATGAAGATAAATAGTGATTTATTGCAGACATTAACTATACTAAATACAGTTCTACTTTTTACTTTAACCAAGTACTCTCTTCTCCTTACCGTCTTCCTCTGCACGTACCAGTGTACGTGAAGTTACGAGGCACCGCCTTATTCTGTCATCAGAATAAGTAGCTTGTACTGTCACCAGTACAAGCTTCAGGGTGCCCCGTTACACCTGGTAGCACTTCGTAGTTCGTCCAAGGACCGCGTTCACATCCAACATGAATATGTTGGATGATGAAGATGACCAAAGCTTTCACGCTACGCGTGACGGCTACTCCTATTTGAGCAATGTCGAATGGGATGCGGTTGAACGTATGGGTTTAAACCATGGGCATCCATGCTGTTTGCGTCATGCTAGAGGCTCTCAATAGAGATGCCCAAAATGCTACTATCGCCAAGTTCATTCCAAATGAACTTGACGCCGAACGCGAGAAAGTAGCCTTGCTTCACCAACAAGGTTCTCAACAAGCAGAGTTGTTGAGAGAACAGGGTGTTCAACAGTTTGCACTGTTGAGACAGCAGCAGGCTGCTGCTAGTGGGTCGATGCACTCGCGTCGACCCGAGACTTTGAAGATTGACATCTCATAGTATAGGGGAGTCGAATAGAACTCCTTCTTGAGATGGTTCGTCAACTTGGATGACGCCATGAGGGCGCGTCGCATCGACGATGGGAATATGCAAGTTGCATTTGCCCAGTCAAATCTGGCAGGACGTGCCAAGACTTGGGCACTGGGACTCAAGTTGCACGACCCATATGCGTTTGGGTCGTTGGAAGTCTTCAAGTCGCGGCTCAGACAAACGTTTGAACCGCCTAGAGCTGAGTTCAGGGTTCGAACCGAACTCTTGAAGCTCAAACAGGGTAAGCGTGATGTGCACGCTTACGCGCAACATATACGACATCTCACGAGTTGTATAAGTTCCAATCCGGTTGATGAACACACGTTGGTTTCGGTGTTCATGCAGGGTCTTGCGGATGGTCCCGTCAAGACTCACCTGTTCCGACTTGAACTAGATTCACTAGAACAAGCCATTTCCATTGCGGAGCAGGAAGACTTCAGCCTGAGACAGGCTCGCGCCAGCTCGACATCATATCGTCAACCGAGACGATATGACAACGGAGGTCCAGAGCCGATGGAACTCTGTTATGTAGACAGCGAGAAGGCTCGCTCTACAGACTACAAGAAGTTGCAGAAATGCAACAGATGTCAAAAGACAGGACACTACGCTTACGAGCGTAGTGCCCCTCGTCCAGTGTCTCGCAACACTGGGCGTAGTGACCGTCCACCCATAAGAAAGGGGCAGGGACGCGGGTCCGCTGTTGGTGCAAAGACGCAACAACGGGATGGACCGTCAAAAAACGGACAGGATCAGTAGGTGCGGAGCACCCTACTGGTCCAGCAACGTCAAGAGAATTTGTAGGCCTCTTGATGAAGGTTGCTCCCGACACACAAACGTTGTGCGTTGCTGCTCTAGGTAGTGAGATCTCACTCATTACCTTGAAACTCGAAGTGACGAATAAGTTGTCCCTTCGAGCTCTAGTCGATTGTGGGGCGTCCAACAATTTTGTGCAACGCCAATTGCTAGAAGATGGTCACTTTAAGTTCAGTGAATGTGACACACCTCCTACGAGGATGACGGTACGTCTTGCGACAGGCGCATCCGTAACCGTCATGAAGCGTATAGTGAAGATCCACTATACGCTAGAAGATACCCAATATGACGATGACTTTATCGTATTGGATTTGGATGACAAATTTGATGTCATCCTTGGAATACCGTGGCTCAGAAGGTACGAACCACGAGTAAACTGGCAACATCGGACAGTAACGATGCCTGCCGCTTGTTCATCAGATGGCCATCTGATGAACGTTTTGGAGCGTCCACAAGCGTGTGGATGTACTACGAGTGAGTGCGATGGCCTCACTTGTGGTACGGTCGTTAGTACGACTGCACAAAACCTTAGTGTGACAAACGGTTACACTTCGGAGCAAAGTTCCGGCGGCTGTGAGGAAACACAGGCTGCGCCGAAGGTCCACCACACGAATAAGTCGGGCGGACTGGTACAAAGATGTATCCCTAGCGGGGAACATCTAGATGAGAAACAATCGATCGCTCAGGTTAAGCGAAACGATAATCCTAGATCGACTAGAGAGTCTTTCGTAGAGGATCTCGCTGTGGTTGCGCAACCCCAGCTAGAGGAAGTAAAGGGAATAAGTCCCAAGATTACAAATACGGCGGAAATAAGTTCCCCGAAACCCGCGGGAATAAGTCCCCGGGAAGCCGAAGGAATAGATTCTTCGAGGCCTGAGGGAATAAGTCCTCAGGAAATGACAGAGACATAGAATGTCATAGTCAATAACGGATCAAGTGTAGGCGCTTACACACTTGATCTGATTGCGCCTCCGAAGTTGACTTCGGAGATCACTCAGTTGCCAACGCTCGAACATAAAAGGTTCTTGCGTGATCTGCGTAGTGGCAAAGTCAAGCAGATCTGCGTACTCGTCGCTGACGACGAGTGTGTAGCCGACATAAGGTCAGCAACAGTGTTCACCGAGAACGAGAGAGTTCTCAGTAGTTCATTTATGGACGAGACTGTCCTAGATGAAAAGACACAAGTTGAGCGATATGACTCCCAATCATGGGAATCGCTCAAGACAAATCCTCTCTATGAAGATTTGGTTGAATTCAAGGATGCATTCCCTGAAACTGTTCCGTGCGAGTTACCGAAGGATAAAGGTATTCGACACGAGGTCGAGCTTAAACCAGGATCGAAGCACTGTGTCGTGAAGTAGTGGCCACTGCCTCGTGAACAAGTACTTGCGATCGACAAGTTCTTTGCCGATCGTTTAGCTGCGGGCCATGTGAGGGAATCAACTTCCCCACATAGCTCTCCGACCTTCTGTGTGCGAAAAGCAACAGGAGGGTGGCGGATAGTGCACGCGTTCAACAAATTGAACGCTGCAACGGTACCGGCTCAGACGCCGATACCGAGGAAGGACGTAATCATTGATGGTATGTCAAAGAGTACCATCTTTTCGTCCATGGATTTGATGGATGGCTTCTATCAAATCCTTATGCGGGAACGGGATATACCCTATACCGCAGTTAGCACGCCTAGCGGCATGCTCTGGGAATGGCTAGTAATGCCACAAGGGCTCAGTAAAGCCCCTGCCTCTTTCAACAGATGTGATACACATCTGTTGAGGCCAGTACGAGAATTCGCGCCGAGTTATTTCGATGACGTATTCATCCATAGTCGAGCTATGGATGGAAAGTCGGACGTTGAGGTTCACAGGTACCACGTCCGACAAGTTCTTACAATCATGCGAAAGCATCAATTGTATGCAAACCTCAAGAAGTGTATATTTGCAGCAAGCGAAATACCACTTCTTGGGTGCATCGTTGGTAAGAACGGTGTACGTCCTGATCCTGAAAAGATCAAGGCGATCACCGACTGGCCTGTGCCGGTTGATGTCAAAGGTCTTCGAAAATTCCTTGGGCTAGCGGCGTATTTGCATAAGTATTCACGCAATTACGCCGAGATGACTGTGCATCTCTCTCGTTTGTTAAAAATGAACGAGAGGTGGTGATGGAACGCTGAATGTCAGCGCTCCTTTGATGGTATCAAGCAGAGCTTGATACAATCCCCAGTCCTAGCAATTGCCGATCAGGACAGGCCATTTCATGTGGTCTGTGATGCCAGCGATTTCGCAATCGGCTGTGCATTAATGCAGTACGATCTTGAAGGCGTTGAACGCGTCGTCTGCTATCAGTCGCGTCAGCTGCAACCAGCTGAGCGGAACTATCCAGTGCATGACAAGGAACTCCTTGCCATGAAGTATGCACTCGCGAAGTTCGGAGTCTATCTATTAGGAGATAGACCCTTCATTGTTTACACTAACCATGCGTCATTACGCACGGCAGTAAACAGCCCGCACCTTTCACAACGAATGGCGCGGTGGTTGTCATTCTTTGCAGAATACAACTTTACGGTCGAGTACAAAAAAACCAAGACGACTTAATGTTGTCGCTGATGCACTCTCACGTCGTCCCGACTTTGAACCAGTCGTGAAACCCAACAGAGAGACAGTCACTGTTGCGGTTATGACGTCCTCAGTCCCATCTACAACGTTGTATGATGATGTGAGGCGGGCATACGCCCAAGATAGTGAGATTGTGAAGTTGTTGACACATCTCTCACAGCCATCCCGAGAATCGTTGAAACGATTATCGTCTGCGTATCGATCTGCATCAGATCGATACACTAACCGCAACGGGTTACTGTATTATACAGCCGTTTCTGGTTACACACCACGTGTTGTCATTCCAGATGATACTGATCTGCGTTTGCGGATCATGTTCGAGTATCACGATGCTCCTATAGGAGGACATCGTGGCTGTGAGAAGACATATCTCACGGTGAGTCGAGACTTTTACTGGCCCCTCCAGTATCAGTTTGTGCGAAAGTATGTTCGCGCATGCGAAGTCTGCCAATGAGTGAAGTCAAGTCCTTCACTGCGTGCACCTTTACAGCCTCTACCGGTTCCGGCTGAGTGCTGGGAATCCATCTCAATGGATTTTGTCTCCGGGTTACCCAAAGACGCACGCGGGAATACGGGTATTCTCGTATTTGTTGACAGATTCAGCAAAATGGTACACCTTGTGGCTGTACCAGAGTCAATCACAGCAAGTGGCTGTGCTTGTGTCTTTATCGACACCATCTTCCGACTTCATGGGTTACCCCGTGAACTCGTATCAGACAGAGATCCACGATTCACTGCTGATTTCTGGCGTTCCGTGTTCAAATCACTCGGAACGCGCTTGAAGATGTCTACATATGATCACCCAGAGTCATATGGTCAGAAGGAACGTGCCAATCGTGTCCTCGAAGAGATACTTCGAGGATACGTACACTCCTTCAAAAGTTGGAGTGAGTTTTTGCCAAAGGTAGAGTTTGCCATCAACAACTCGGTGCATGCGTCCACGACACATACACCGTTTTACGTGAATGGCTTACGCCATCCGCGTGTACCCACCTTACTAGAGTGTATCTCTCGTTTAAGGGGGGGAGGGACTCGCGCGAGCAAAAACCGAATTGGTTCACGCTCATCACGCTCTGACGAAGAGGCCATTGCGCTTGATGCCGATATCGATAACATCGATATCGAAGAAGATGATGCCAGTGAGAGTGCGGAAGCCCTCACTGAAGAAAATATTGATGTTGCTGCAGTGCGCTCTCAGCGCACTGAAGCTAACGAGTCATCAGATGAGTTCATACTGGCTCGTATAACGGTAGTCCGTTTTGTGCAAGACTCCATCGCCGAAGCGGTGGATAAGCAAAAGCAAAACGCTGACAAGAATGGAAGGGCAAACACTCTTTTATTTAACAAAGGTGACTTAGTCCTACTGTCTACGGTTAATCTACAAAAGCATGTAGTGACTAACTTGGGTAGCAGTAAACTACTACCCAAGTACATCGGCCCATTTCGTGTATTGCACCGCCTAGGCAATACATACACGATCGAGTTACCACGTAAGATGCGAACGCATCCCACGTTTTACGTTGGTCGGCTTAAGCCGTACCACCAGTAAGCTGCTTCTTCCGATGAAGAACGCCCTTGCGTTCAATCATCTCGCAGAGAGCCTTGTGCTCCCGATGGTGGGCATCGACAAGGGTCTGAAGAGCGGTTATCTCAGCCCGAGACCGCTCAACATCCCCACGAGCTACCCTTAGCTCGTCACGCAGAGACGTCAAAGCTCTCTCGTTCTCAAGCTGAGCAAAGGCAAACTCAGCTCGATGCTTCAAGACAGTGTCCGCCATTTGGAGACGCCTGTCCCGCTCATGTTCGAGATCGCCGCGTAACCCTTGCGTTACGCGATCAAAGAAGCTCTCGGGAACACACGCTTCCCCACGATTGTGTGGAGAGCGTCTTCCCTCCTCCTCCACCTCCATTAGAGGACTCTCGCGGTGGCCAGCGCTATCTAGTTAAGCAGCTGTTGAACCACCGCGACGTGAACGGACGTCGGACGAGTTATCTCGTCCAGTGGCGCGGCTATCCCCCGTCCTGGGATTCTTGGGAGCCCCGCTCCCAACTGATGGTCGACGTACTGGGTCTGGTTGAGCAGTACGATGCGGCACATCCTGTCCCGCAAGAGGACCGCCGGAGAAAGACTTCCCGGCTCGGTCGTAAAGGTATTTCAGGTTTGCAATCCATTTGTACATCTCAGTAGAGACACGTACGCGCCACCACGGGGTGGTAAGGAGATAAGCCTCCTTACGCGCGCGCGCAGAGTTGTTAACACAACGAGGGCACGAGTCTCCCCAAGAGAGGCAGGGTAATCCTTTCTCCTATGACAGACGATGCAGCTTGTAGCGTGCACCTGTCGGGGTTCGCTTTTCAAACTTATCACGAGCTTTGATAAGTTTGTCGTTCCAAGCGTCACGACCTACATCCTCAAGGTTATGGATGTAGGCGTTCCACGACTGAAGCAGTGAGGGACCATCACGCTTGTGATTCCCACTGTACCATCGATGTCTAAAGAAAGCATCAATGAAGAATTCATTCTCAGCGCGATAGTTTTTCGCGCTGGGGTCAAGGTGATGGATCCTTGACGAATCGAACAATCGTGTTCGATAACGATCACTCGTCGTCGCCGACAAGTGATCCATGACAGATTTAGGAGGCATCCATGCCTTCTTCTCAGGAGCGAGATGCAACGCATTGCGGTCCCGCTCTTCCTGCGACGTGCCGACAGAAGGACTGGTACCTCGTTGCGAAGTGGTGTCAATAGGAGAACCGACACCACTGTTAGCGCCCGAGTCTCGCGACCGGGAGCGCCTACGCTTCGGCGATGGTTCATCTGATTCATCAGATGAACTAAAGATGCTACGACGCAAAGCATCATCCATGCCACGCTTGGCAGGCGGCTTGGATTCGATCGCCGTCGATACGGATCCGTCTTCTGTATCAGGAGAGTATGAGACACCGAGCTCATACTCTGTGAAGACATGAGTGTCTTCATGACGAGCGCCTGCATCACCAGAGGACGCAGGCTGAGTCGCTTAAGCAACCGATGAGACATCAGTTGCTGCGGTTTCTGCTTCGGCGTCCGCACAGAGACGTGCAGACGCGCTCTCGGCGGCCTTGCTCGCGCATCGCATGGACTTGTTAACCATACGATGAAATGTTGGAAAGTGGACTCGGACCAACAAGTGCAAACCCTGTCCCAAATGATTTAAGACGAGTATCCATTCAGTCAATCAGTCACTAAAGAGACTGATGGTTAAGGGGGGGGTGATGTAACGGGGTGAATCGTTACATCACAATTTATAAGAAATTGTTAATAGAATATAACTATAAGAGTTATATTCTCAGAATATTGTCATAAGGACAAATATTCTGCAGCACTTACGAGTAGTTCCTAATTGGTTGATATAGGCCATTATATCAACCAACGAAGACGCGCCACGACAGACGCACGCAATGAGTGGTGAGCAGATAACTGATTTAGACATTTGTATTTAGACATAGTTAGATGAAGATAAATAGTGATTTATTGCAGACATTAACTATACTAAATACAGTTCTACTTTTTACTTTAACCAAGTACTCTCTTCTCCTTACCGTCTTCCTCTGCACGTACCAGTGTACGTGAAGTTACGAGGCACCGCCTTATTCTGTCATCAGAATAAGTAGCTTGTACTGTCACCAGTACAAGCTTCAGGGTGCCCCGTTACACCTGGTAGCACTTCGTAGTTCGTCCAAGGACCGCGTTCACATCCAACATGAATATGTTGGATGATGAAGATGACCAAAGCTTTCACGCTACGCGTGACGGCTACTCCTATTTGAGCAATGTCGAATGGGATGCGGTTGAACGAATGGAGTTCAACCATGGGCATCCATGCTGTTAGCGTCATGCTAGAGGCTCTCAATAGAGATGCCCAAAATGCTACTATCGCCAAGTTCATTCAAAATGAACTTGACGCAGAACGCGAGAAAGTAGCCTTGCTTCACCAACAAGGTTCTCAACAAGCAGAGTTGTTGAGAGAACAGGGTGTTCAACAGTTTGCACTGTTGAGACAGCAGCAGGCTGCTGCTAGTGGGTCGATGCACTCGCGTCGACCCGAGACTTTGAAGATTGACATCTCATAGTATAGGGGAGTCGAATAGAACTCCTTCTTGAGATGGTTCGTCAACTTGGATGACGCCATGAGGGCGCGTCGCATCGACGATGGGAATATGCAAGTTGCATTTGCCCAGTCAAATCTGGCAGGACGTGCCAAGACTTGGGCACTGGGACTCAAGTTGCACGACCCATATGCGTTTGGGTCGTTGGAAGTCTTCAAGTCGCGGCTCAGACAAACGTTTGAACCGCCTAGAGCTGAGTTCAGAGCTCGAACCGAACTCTTGAAGCTCAAGCAGGGTAAGCGTGATGTACACGCTTACGCGCAACATATACGACATCTCACGAGTTGTATAAGTTCCAATCCGGTTGATGAACACACGTTGGTTTCGGTGTTCATGCAGGGTCTTGCGGATGGTCCCGTCAAGACTCACCTGTTCCGACTTGAACTAGATTCACTAGAACAAGCCATTTCCATTGCGGAGCAGGAAGACTTCAGCCTGAGACAGGCTCGCGCCAGCTCGACATCATATCGTCAACCGAGACGATATGACAACGGAGGTCCAGAGCCGATGGAACTCTGTTATGTAGACAGCGAGAAGGCTCGCTCTACAGACTACAAGAAGTTGCAGAAATGCAACAGATGTCAAAAGACAGGACACTACGCTTACGAGCGTAGTGCCCCTCGTCCAGTGTCTCGCAACACTGGGCGTAGTGACCGTCCACCCATAAGAAAGGGGCAGGGACGCGGGTCCGCTGTTGGTGCAAAGACGCAACAACGGGATGGACCGTCAAAAAACGGACAGGATCAGTAGGTGCGGAGCACCCTACTGGTCCAGCAACGTCAAGAGAATTTGTAGGCCTCTTGATGAAGGTTGCTCCCGACACACAAACGTTGTGCGTTGCTGCTCTAGGTAGTGAGATCTCACTCATTACCTTGAAACTCGAAGTGACGAATAAGTTGTCCCTTCGAGCTCTAGTCGATTGTGGGGCGTCCAACAATTTTGTGCAACGCCAATTGCTAGAAGATGGTCACTTTAAGTTCAGTGAATGTGACACACCTCCTACGAGGATGACGGTACGTCTTGCGACAGGCGCATCCGTAACCGTCATGAAGCGTATAGTGAAGATCCACTATACGCTAGAAGATACCCGATATGACGATGACTTTATCGTATTGGATTTGGATGACAAATTTGATGTCATCCTTGGAATACCGTGGCTCAGAAGGTACGAACCACGAGTAAACTGGCAACATCGGACAGTAACGATGCCTGCCGCTTGTTCATCAGATGGCCATCTGATGAACGTTTTGGAGCGTCCACAAGCGTGTGGATGTACTACGAGTGAGTGCGATGGCTTCACTTGTGGTACGGTCGTTAGTACGACTGCACAAAACCTTAGTGTGACAAACGGTTACACTTCGGAGCAAAGTTCCGGCGGCTGTGAGGAAACACAGGCTGCGCCGAAGGTCCACCACACGAATAAGTCGGGCGGACTGGTACAAAGATGTATCCCTAGCGGGGAACATCTAGATGAGAAACAATCGATCGCTCAGGTTAAGCGAAACGATAATCCTAGATCGACTAGAGAGTCTTTCGTAGAGGATCTCGCTGTGGTTGCGCAACCCCAGCTAGAGGAAGTAAAGGGAATAAGTCCCAAGATTACAAATACGGCGGAAATAAGTTCCCCGAAACCCGCGGGAATAAGTCCCCGGGAAGCCGAAGGAATAGATTCTTCGAGGCCTGAGGGAATAAGTCCTCAGGAAATGACAGAGACATAGAATGTCATAGTCAATAACGGATCAAGTGTAGGCGCTTACACACTTGATCTGATTGCGCCTCCGAAGTTGACTTCGGAGATCACTCAGTTGCCAACGCTCGAACATAAAAGGTTCTTGCGTGATCTGCGTAGTGGCAAAGTCAAGCAGATCTGCGTACTCGTCGCTGACGACGAGTGTGTAGCCGACATAAGGTCAGCAACAGTGTTCACCGAGAACGAGAGAGTTCTCAGTAGTTCATTTATGGACGAGACTGTCCTAGATGAAAAGACACAAGTTGAGCGATATGACTCCCAATCATGGGAATCGCTCAAGACAAATCCTCTCTATGAAGATTTGGTTGAATTCAAGGATGCATTCCCTGAAACTGTTCCGTGCGAGTTACCGAAGGATAAAGGTATTCGACACGAGGTCGAGCTTAAACCAGGATCGAAGCACTGTGTCGTGAAGTAGTGGCCACTGCCTCGTGAACAAGTACTTGCGATCGACAAGTTCTTTGCCGATCGTTTAGCTGCGGGTCATGTGAAAAAGGGAATCAACTTCCCCACATAGCTCTCCGACCTTCTGTGTGCGAAAAAAGCAACAGGAGGGTGGCGGATAGTGCATGCGTTAAACAAGTTGAATGCTGCAACGGTACCGGCTCAGACGCCGATACCGAGGAAGGACGTAATCATTGATGGTATGTCAAAGCGTACCATCTTTTCGTCCATGGATTTGATGGATGGCTTCTATCAATTTCTTATGCGAGAACGGGAGATACCCTATACCGCAGTTAGCACGCCTAGCGACATGCTCTGGGAATGGCTAGTAATGCCACAAGGGCTTAGTAATTCCCCTGCCACATTCAACAGATGTGATACACATCTGTTGAGACCAGTACGAGAATTCGCACCGAGTTATTTTGATGAAGTATTCATCCATAGTCGAGCTATGGATGGAAAGTCGGACGTTGAGGTTCACAGGTACCACGTCCGACAGGTTCTTACAATCATGCGAAAGCATCAATTGTATGTCAATCTCAAGAAGTGTATATTTGCAGCAAGCGAAATACCACTTCTTGGGTGCATCGTTGGTAAAAATGGTGTACGTCCTGATCCCGAAAAGATCAAGGCGATCACCGACTGGCCTGTGCCGGTTGATGTCAAAGGTCTTCGAAAATTCCTCGGGCTAGCGGCGTATTTGCATAAGTATTCACGCAATTACGCCGAGATGACTGTGCACCTCTCTCGTTTGTTAAAAATGAACGAGAGGTGGTTATGGAACGCTGAAGGTCAACGCTACTTTGATGGTATCAAGCAGAGCTTGATACAATCCCAAGTCCTAGCAATTGCCGATCAGGACAGGCCATTTCGTGTGTTCTGTGATGCCAGCGATTTCGCAATCGGCTGTGCATTAATGCAGTACGACCTAGAAGACGTTGAACGCGTCGTCTGCTATCAGCCGGTTCAGCTGCAACCAGCTGAGCAAAATTATCCAGTGCATGACAAGGAACTCCTTGCCATGAAGTATGCACTCGCGAAGTTCAGAGTCTATCTATTAGGAGATAGACCGTTCATTGTTTACACTGACCATGCGTCATTACGCACGGGAGTGAACAGCCCGCACCTTTCACACGAATGGCGCGGTGGTTGTCATTCTTTTCAGAATACAACTTTACGGTCGAATACAAACCAGGACGACTTAATGTGGCGCTGATGCACTCTCACATCGTCCCGACTTTGAAACAGTCGCGAAACCCAACAGTGAGACAGTCACTGTTGCGATTATGACGTCCTCAGTCCCATCTACAACGTTGTATGATGATGTGAGGCGGGCATACGCCCGAGATGGTGAGATTGTGAAGTTGTTGACACATCTCTCACGGCCATCTCGAGAATCGTTGAAACGATTGTCGTCTGCGCATCGATCTGCATCAGATCGATACACTACTCGTAACGGTTTACTGTACTATACAGCCGTTTCTGGTGACACACCACGTGTTGTCATTCCAGATGATACTGATCTGCGTTTTGCGGATCGTGTTCGAGTATCACGATGCTCCTATAGGAGGACATCGTGGCCGAGAGAAAACATATCTCACGGTAAGTCGAGACTTTTACTGGCCCCGCCAGTATCAGTTTGTGCGAAAGTATGTTCGCGCATGCGAAGTCTGTCAACGAGTGAAGTCAAGTCCTTCACTGCGTGCACCTTTACAGCCTCTACCGGTTCCGGCTGAGTGCTGGGAATCCATCTCAATGGATTTCGTCTTCAGGTTACCCAAAGACGCACGCGGGAATACGGGTATTCTCGTATTTGTTGACAGATTCAGCAAAATGGTACACCTTGTGGCTGTACCAGAGACAATCACGGCAAGTGGCTGTGCTTGTGTCTTTATCGACACCATCTTCCGACTTCATGGGTTGCCCCGTGAACTCGTATCGGACAGAGACCCACGATTCACTGCTGATTTCTGGCGTTCCGTGTTCAAATCACTCGGAACGCGCTTGAAGATGTCAACATCTGATCATCCAGAGTCAGATGGTCAGACGGAACGTGCCAATCGTGTCCCTTGAAGAGATACTTCGAGGATACGTACACTCCTTTAAGAGTTGGAGTGAGTTTTTGCCAATGGTAGAGTTTGCCATCAACAACTCGGTGCATGCGTCCACGACACATACACCGTTTTACGTGAATGGCTTGCGCCATCCGCGTGTACCCACCTTACTAGAGTGTATCTCTCGTTTAAGGGGGGGGGACTCGCGCGAGCAAAAACCGAGTTGGTTCACGCTCATCACGCTCTGAAGATGAGGTCATTGCGGTTGATGCCGATATCGATAACATCGATGTCGAAGAAGATGATCCCAGTGAGGAGTGCGGGAAGCCCTCACTGAAGAAAAGGTTGATGTTGCTGCAGTGCGCTTACAGCACACAGAAGCTAACGAGTCATCCGATGAGTTCACACTGGCTCGTATAACGGTAGTCCGTTTTGTGCAAGACTCCATCGCCGAAGCGGTGGATAAGCAGAAGCAAACGCTGACAAGAATGGAAGGGCAAACACTCTTTTATTTAATAAAGGTGACTTAGTCCTACTGTCTACGGTTAATCTACCAAAGTATGTAGTGACTAACTTGGGTAGCAGTTAACTACTACCCAAGTACATCGGCCCATTTCGTGTATTGCACCGCCTAGGCAATGCATACACGATCGAGTTTTACCACGTAAGATGCGAACGCATCCCACGTTTTACGTTGGTCGGCTTAAGCCGTACCATCCAGTACGCTGTTTCTTCCGATTAAGAACGCCCTTGCGTTTAAGCATCTCACAGAGGGCCTTGTGCTCCCGATGGTGGGCATCGACAAGGGTCTGAAGAGCGGTTATCTCAGCCCGAGACCGGTCAACGTCCACACGAGCTACCCTTAGCTCGTTAGGCGGAGATGTCAGAGCTCTCTCGCTCTCAAGCTGAGCAAAGGCAAACTCAGCTCGATGCTTCGAGACAGTGTCCGCCAGTTGGAGACGCCTGTCCCGCTCAAGTTCGATATCGCCGCGTAACGCTTGCGTTACGCGATCAAAGAAGCTCTCGGGAAGACACGCTTCCCCACGATAGTTTGGAGAGCGTTTTCCCTCCTCGTTTACCTCGATTGGAGGACTCTCGCGGTGGCCCCAGCGCTATCTGGTTAAGCAGCTGTTGGACCACCCGCGATGTGGAACGGACGTCGGACGGGTTACCCCTCGTCCGGTGGCGCGGCTATCCCCGTCTGGGATACTTGGGAGCCCCGCTCCTAACTGATGGTCGACGTACTGGGTCTGGTCGAGCGGTACGACGCGACACATCCAGTGCCGCAGAAGGACCGCCGGAGAAAGTCTTCTCGGCACGGTCTGTTAAGATTTCAGGTTGTCAATCCCTTCGTGCATCTCACTAGAGATGCGTACGTGCCACCATGGGCTAGTAATGGGAGGTAAGCCTCCCTTAGGTGCTCGTGCAGAGTTGTTCACACAACATGGGCGGGTCTCCCCAAGGGAGGCAGGGTAACCCACCCTCCCTAGGCGGGCGATGCAGCTTATAGCGCGCACCTGTCGGATTTCGCTTCCTCAAGCTTATCACGAGCTTTGATAAGTTTGTCGTTCCCAGCGTCACGACCTAAATCCTCGAGGTTATGGATAGTAGGCGTTTCACGCCTGAAGCGGTGAGGGACCGTAACGTTTTGTGATTCCCACTGTACCATCGATGTTTAAAGAAAGCATCGATGAAGAAATATTTCTCAGCGCGATAGTTTTTCGCACTGGGGTCAAGGTGATGAATCCTTGACGAATCGAACAATCGTGTTCGATAACGATCACTCGTCGTTGCCAACCAGTGATCCATGATGAATTTAAGGAGGCATCCATGCCTTCTTCTCGGGAGCGAGACGCAAACACTGCGGCCCCGCTCTTCCTGCGACGTGCCGACAGAAGTACTGGCACCTCGTTGAGAAGTGGTGTCAATAGGAGAACCGACACCACTGTGGCTTACTCGAGTCTCTCGACCTCGAGCGCCTTCGCTTCGGCGATGATTCATCTGATTCATCAGATGAACCAAAGATGCTACGACGCAAAGCATCATCCATGCCGCGCTTGGCAGGCGGCTTGGATTCGATCGCCGTGATACGGATCCGTCTTCTGTATCAGGAGAGTATGAGACACCGAGCTCATACTCTGTGAAGACATGAGTGTCTTCATGACGAGCGCCTGCATCACCACGTGACACAGGCTGGGACGCTTCAGCAACCGATGAGACATCGGTTGCTGTGGTTTCTGCTTCGGCGTCCGCACAAAGACGTGCGGACGCGCCTCTCGGCGGCCTTGCTCGCGCATCGCATGGACTTGTTAACCATACGATGAAATGTTGGAAAGTGGACTCGGACCAACAAAGTGCAAACCCTGTCCCAAATGATTTAAGACGAGTATCCATTCAGTCAATCAGTCACTAAAGAGACTGATGGTTAGGAGGGGGTGATGTAAGCGGGGTGAATCGTTACATAGCAATTTATAAGAAATTGTTAATAGAATATAACTATAAGAGTTATATTCTCAGAATATTGTCATAAGGACAAATATTCTGCAGCACTTACAGTAGTTCCTAATTGGTTGATATATGCCATTATATCAACCAACGAAGACCGCGCCACGACAGACGCACGCAATGAGTGGTGAGCAGATACTTGATTTACACATTTGTATTTAGACATAGTTAGATGAAGATAAATAGAGATTTATTGCAGACATTAACTATTCCCCAAATACAGTTCTACGCTGTACTTTAACCAAGTACTCGCTTCTTCTTACCGTCTTCCCCTCTGCACGTACGAGTGTACGTGAAGTTACGAGGCACCGCCTTATTCTGTCATCAAAATTAAGTAGCTTGTACTGTCACCAGTACAAGCTTCAAGGTGCCCCGTTACACCTGGTAGCACTTCGTAGTCCGTCCAAGGACCGCGTTGGCATCTAACATGAATATGTTTGGATGATGAAGATGACCAAAGCTTTTCACGCTACGCGTGACGGCTACTCCCATTTGAGCGATGTCGAATGGGATTGCGGTTGAATATATGGGTTCAGCCATGGGCATCCATGCTGTTAGCGTCATGCTAGAGGCTCTCAATGGAGATGCCCAAGATGCTACTATCGCCAAGTTCATTCAAAATGAACTTGGGGCGCCAGGAGGGCGAGAAAGTAGCCTTGCTTCACCAACAAGGTTCTCAACAAGCAGAGTTGTTGAGAGAACAGGGTGCTCAACAGTTTGAACTGTTGAGACAGCAGCAGGCTGCTGCTGGTGGGTCGATGCACTCGCGTCGACCCGAGACTCCTGAAGATTGACATCTCCAAGTATAGGGGGGTCGAAGAGGACTCCCTCTTGAGATGGTTCGTCCGAATTGGATGACGCCATAAGGGCGCGTCGCATCGACGACGGGGATATGCAAGTTGCATTTGCCCAGTCAAATCTGGCAGGACGTGCCAAGACTTGGGCACTGGGGCTCAAGTTGCACGACCCATATGCGTTTGGGTCGTTGGAAGTCTTCAAGTCGCGGCTCAGACAAACGTTTGAACCGCCTAGAGCTGAGTTCAGAGCTCGAACCGAACTCTTGAAGCTCCAAGCAGGGTAAGCGTGATGTGCACGCTTACGCTCAACATATACGACATCCTCACGAGTTGTATCAGTTCCAATCCGGTTGATGAACACACGTTGGTTTCGGTGTTCATGCAGGGTCTTGCGGATGGTCCCGTCAAGACTCACCTGTTCCGACTTGAACTAGATTCACTAGAACAAGCCATTTCCATTGCGGAGCAGGAAGACTTCAGTCTGAGACAGGCTCGCGCCAGCTCGACATCATATCGTCAACCGAGACGATATGACAACGGAGGTCCAGAGCCGATGGAACTCTGTTATGTAGAGAGAGAGAAGGCTCGCTCTACAGAATACAAGAAGTTGCAGAAATGCAACAGATGTCAGAAGACAGGACACTACGCTTATGAGCGTAGTGCCCCTCGTCCAGTGTCTCGCAACACTGGGCGTAGTGACCGTCCACCTATGAGAAAGGGGCAGGGACGCGGGCCCGCTGTTGGTGCAAAGACGCAACAACGGGATGGACCGTCAAAAAAACGGACAGGATCAGTAGGTGCGGAGCACCCTACTGATCCAGCAACGTCAAGAGAATTTGTAGGCCTCTTGATGAAGGTTGCTCCCAACACACAAACATTGTGCGTTGCTGCTCTAGGTAATGAGATCTCACTCATTACCTTGAAACTCGAAGTGACGAATAAGTTGTCCCTTCGAGCTCTAGTCGATTGTGGGGCGTCCAACAATTTTGTGCGACGCCAATCGCTAGAAGATGGTCACTTTAAGTTCAGTGAATGTGACACACCTCCTACGAGGATGACGGTACGTCTTGCGACAGGCGCATCCGTAACCATCATGAAGCGTATAGTGAAGATCCACTATACGCTAGAAGATACCCAAATATGACGATGACTTCATCGTATTGGATTTGGATGACAAATTTGATGTCATCCTTGGAATACCGTGGCTCCAGAAGGTACGAACCACGGGTAAACTGGCAACATCGGACAGTAACGATGCCTGCCGCTTGTTCATCAGATGGCCATCTGATGAACGTTTTGGAGCGTCCACAAGCGTGTGGATGTACTACGAGTGAGTGCGATGGCCTCACTTGTGGTACGGTCGTTAGTACGACTGCACAAAACCTTAGTGTACCAAACGGTTACACTGGAGCAAAGTTCCGGCGGCTGTGAGGAAACACAGGCTGCGCCGAAGGTGCCCACCACTCGAATAAGTCGGGCGGACTGGGACAAAGATGTATCCCTAGCTGGGAACATCTAGAAGAGAAACAATCGATCGCTCAGGTTAAGCTAAACGATAATCCTAGATCGACTGGAGAGTCTTTCGTAGAGGATCTCGCTGTGGTTGCGCAACCCCAGCTAGAGGAAGTAAAGAGAATAAGTCCCAAGATTACAAATACGGCGGAAATAAGTTCCCCGAAACCCGCGGGAATAAGTCCCCGGGAAGCCGAAGGAATAAGTCCTTCGAAGCCTGAGGGAATAAGTCCCCAGGAAATGACAGAGACATTAAATGTCATAGCCAATAACGGATCAAGTGTAGGCGCTTATACACTTGATCTGATTTCGCCTCCGAAGTTGACTTCGGAGATCACTCAGTTGCCAACGCTCGAACATAAAAGGTTCTTGCGTGATCTGCGTAGTGGCAAAGTCAAGCAGATCTGCGTACTCGTCGCTGACGACGAGTGTGTAGCCGACATAAGGTCAGCAACAGTGTTCACTGAGAACGAGGAGGGAGTTCTCAGTAGTTCATCTATGGACGAGAGAGTGTCCTAGATGAAAAGACACAAGTTGAGTCGATATGACTCCCAATCATGGGAATCGCTCAAGGACAAATCCTCTCTATGAAGATTTGGTTGAATTCAAGGATGCATTCCTGAAACTGTTCCGTGCGAGTTACCGAAGGATAAAGGTATTCGACACGAGGTCGAGCTTAAACCAGGATCGAAGTACTGTGTCATGAAGTAGTGGCCACTGCCTCGTGAACAAGTACTTGCGATCGACAAGTTCTTTGCCGATCGTTTAGCTGCAGGCCATGTGAGGGAATCAACTTCCCCACGTAGCTCTCCGACCTTCTGTGTGCGAAAAGCAACAGGAGGGTGGCGGATAGTTGCATGCGTTTAACAAATTGAACGCTGCAGCGTTACCGGCTCAGACGCCGATACCGATGAGGAAGGACGTAATCATTGATGGTATGTCCAAGAGTACCATCTTTTCGTCCATGGATTTGATGGATGGCTACTACTTCAAATCCTTATGTTGGGAACAGGGATATACCCTATACCGCAGTTAGCATGCCCTAGCAGCATGCTCTGGGAGATGGCTATTGGTAATGCCACAAGGGCTCAGTAAAGCCCCTGCCTCTTTCAACAGATGTGTATCACATCTGTTGAGGCCAATACGAGAATTCGCGCCGAGTTATTTCGATGACGTATTCATCCATAGTCGAGCTATGGATGGAAAGTCGGACGTTGAGGTTCACAGGTACCACGTCCGACAGGTTCTTACAATCATGCGAAAGCATCAATTGTATGCGAACCTCAAGAAGTGTATATTTGCAGCAAGCGAAATACCACTTCTTTAGTGCATCGTTGGTAAGAACGGTGTACGTCCTGATCCTGAAAAGATCAAGGCGATCACCGACTGGCCTGTGCCGGTTGATGTCAAAGGTCTTCGAAAATGACTTGGGCTAGCGGCGTATTTGCATAAGTATTCACGCAATTACGCCGAGATGACTGTGCACCTCTCTCGTTTGTTGAAAAAGAACGAGAGGTGGTTATGGAACGCTGAATGTCAGCGCTCCTTTGATGGTATCAAGCAAAGCTTGATACAACCCCCAGTCCTAGCAATTGCCGATCAGGACAGGCCATTTCATGTGTTCTGTGATGCCAGCGATTTCGCAATCGGCTGTGCATTAATGCAGTACGATCTTGAAGGCGTTGAACCGCGTCGTCTGCTATCAGCCGCGTCAGCTGCAACCAGCTGAGCGAAACTATCCAGTGCATGACAAGGAACGCCTTGCCATGAAGTATGCACTCGCGAAGTTCAGAGTCTATCTATTAGGAGATAGACCCTTCATTATTTACACTGACCATGCGTCATTACGCACGGCAGTGAACAGCCCGCACCTTTTTCACAGCGAATGGCGCGGTGGTTGTCATTCTTTGCAGAATACAACTTTACGGTCGAGTACAAAAAACCAGGACGACTTAATGTTTGTCGCTGATGCACTCTCACGTCGTCCCGACTTTGAACCAGTCGCGAAACCCAACAGAGAGACAGTCACTGTTGCGGTTATGACGTCCTCGGTTCCATCTACATCGTTGTATGATGATGTGAGGCGGGCATACGCCCAAGATAGTGAGATTATTGAAGTTGTTGACACATCTCTCACGGCCATCTCGAGAATCGTTGAAACGATTATCGTCTGCGTGATCGATCTGCATCAGATCGATACACTACTCATAACAGGTTACTGTACTATACAGCCGTTTCTGGTGACACACCACGTGTTGTCATTCCAGATGATGACTGATCTGCGTTTTGCGGATCATGTTCGAGTATCACGATGCTCCTATAAGAGGACATCGTGGCTGTGAGAAGACATATCTCACGTTGAGTCGAGACTTTTACTGGCCCCTCCAGTATCAGTTTGTGCGAAAGTATGTTCGCGCATGCGAAGTCTGTCAACGAGTGAGAGTCAAGTCCTTCACTGCGTGCACCTTTACAGCCTCTACCGGTTCCGGCTGAGTGCTGGGAATCCATCTCAATGGATTTTGTCTCCGGGTTACCCAAAGACGCACGCGGGAATACGGGTATTCTCATATTTGTTGACAGATTCAGCAAAATGGTACACCTTGTGGCTGTGCCAGAGTCAATCACAGCAGGTGGCTGTGCTTGTGTCTTTATCGACACCATCTTCCGACTTCATGGGTTACCCCGTGAACTCGTATCAGACAGAGACCCACGATTCACTGCTGATTTCTGGCGTTCCGTGTTCAAATCACTCGGGACGCGCTTGGAGATGTCTACATCTGATCAGCCAGAGTCAGATGGTCAGGAGGAACGTGCCAATCGTGTCCTTGAAGAGATACTTCGAGGATACGTACACTCCTTTAAAAGTTGGAGTGAGTTTTTTGCCAAAGGTAGAGTTTGCCATTAACAACTCGGTGCATGCGTCCACGACACATACACCGTTTTACGTGAATGGCTTGCGCCATCCGCGTGTACCCACCTTACTAGAGTGTAACTCTGGTTTAGAGGGGGAGGGACTCGCGCGAGCAAAAACCGGATTGGTTCACGCTCATCACGCTCTGACGAAGAGGTCATTGCGCTTGATGCCGATATCGATAACATCGATATCGAAGAAGATGATGCCAGTGAGAGTGCGGAAGCCCTCACTGAAGAAAAGGTTGATGTTGCTGCAGTGCTCATTCAGCGCACTGAAGCTAACGAGTCATCAGATGAGTTCATACTGGCTCGTGAAACGGTAGTCCGTTTTGTGCAAGACTCCATCGCCGAAGCGGTGGATAAGCAAAAAGCAAAACGCTGACAAGAATGGAAGGGCAAACACTCTTTTATTTAACAAAGGTGACTTAGTCCTACTGTCTACGGTTAATCTACCAAAGCATGTAGTGACTAACTTGGGTAGCAGTAAACTACTACCCAAGTACATCGGCCCCATTTCGTGTATTGCACCGCCTAGGCAATGCATACACGATCGAGTTACCACGTAAGATGCGAACGCATCCCCACGTTTTACGTTGGTCGGCTTAAGCCGTACCACCAGTACGCTGCTTCTTCCGATGAAGAACGCCCTTGCGTTTAAGCATCTCGCAGAGAGCCTTGTGCTCCCGATGGTGGGCATCGACAAGGGTCTGAAGAGCAGTTATCTCAGCCCGAGACCGATCAACAATCCCCACGAGCTACCCTTAGCTCGTCACGCAGAGATCGTCAAAGCTCTCTCGTTCTCAAGCTGAGCAAAGGCAAACTCAGCTCGATGCTTCAAGACAGTGTCCGCCATTTGGAGACGCCTGTCCCGCTCATGTTCGAGATCGCCGCGTAACCCTTGCGTTACGCGATCAAAGCTCTCGGAACACACGCTTCCCCACGATTGTGTGGAGAGCGTCTTCCCTCCCCTCTCCTCCACCTCCATTAGAGGACTCTCGCGGTGGCCAGCGCTATCTAGTTAAGCAGCTGTTGAACCACCGCGACGTGAACGGACGTCGGACGAGTTATCTCGTCCAGTGGCGCGGCTATCCCCCGTCCTGGGATTCTTGGGAGCCCCGCTCCCAACTGATGGTCGACGTACTGGGTCTGGTTGAGCAGTACGATGCGGCACATCCTGTCCCGCAAGAGGACCGCCGGAGAAAGACTTCCCGGCTCGGTCGTAAAAGGTATTTCAGGTTTGCAATCCATTTGTACATCTCAGTAGAGACACGTACGCGCCACCACGGGGTGGTAAGGAGATAAGCCTCCTTACGCGCGCGCGCAGAGTTGTTAACACAACGAGGGCACGAGTCTCCCCAAGAGAGGCAGGGTAATCCTTTCTCCTATGACAGACGATGCAGCTTGTAGCGTGCACCTGTCAGGGTTCGCTTTTCAAACTTATCACGAGCTTTGATAAGTTTGTCGTTCCAAGCGTCACGACCTACATCCTCAAGGTTATGGATGTAGGCGTTCCATGACTGAAGCGGTGAGGGACCATCACGCTTGTGATTCCCACTGTACCATCGATGTCTAAAGAAAGCATCAATGAAGAATTCATTCTCAGCGCGATAGTTTTTCGCTGGGGTCAAGGTGATGGATCCTTGACGAATCGAACAATCGTGTTCGATAACGATCACTCGTCGTCGCCGACAAGTGATCCATGACAGATTTAGGAGGCATCCATGCCTTCTTCTCAGGAAGCGAGATGCAACGCACTGCGGCCCCCGCTCTTCCTGCGACGTGCCGACAGAAGGACTTTGTACCTCGTTGCGAAGTGGATGTCAATAGGAGAACCGACACCACTTTTGTTTGGCGCCCGCTTCGGCGAGTCTCGATTCATCAGACCTAAAGATGCTACGACGCAAAGCCATCCATGCCACGCTTGGCGGCGATGGTTCATCTGATTCCGTCTTCTGTATCAGATGAACTAAAGATGCTACGAC